AATTCGCCTTAAATATAATTCCCCTTCAATTTAATTCGCCTTGAATACAATTCGCCTAAAACACAATTCGCCTTAAATACAATTCGCCAATAGAATTCACCTTAAATAGAATTCGCCTTAAATAGAATTCGCCTTAAATAGAATTATTAATTCACCTCGAATATTATTTCCTTCATTCCCTTTCTGTTAAAGGTTTCCAATGGGCTCGGTGACACCCGGCCCACGATGGTTCCCCGCGAGAGAGGGGTCCCCACGCGTGGTCGCATCCCCCCCCACCCCCTCCTCCGCTCCCTTCTCCCCTCCGACCCCCCCCTTGCCCGCAGGTGCGGGGCCGTGGCCGCAGCCCTTGCGGTGCCCTACCTACCTGCCAGCCTGAGCGCCGACATCCTCTGAAATTCCGGCTCCTGCAACCATTTCCACATCCTCCGGAAAGTCTCCCGGCCCGACTTGAGCTTACTCCAGGGCTTGGGGTTCCGCAGCAGGTCCGAGAGGGTCCCCTGGGAGCGGCACAAGATCCTCTGGGCGAAGATGGCCTGCGGGATGCTGTAACGCTTCAGCTCGGCCGTGATCCTCTGAGCCACCTCCTTGGTGTTGATCTCCTCCACCTGCCCGGAGCCACCGGGTTGGGAACCGGTGGCCGAGGCCTGACGTTCCCGTTCGCCCAGGAGGGAACCGCCGGGCTGGGCGTGCGGGTGGCCGTGAGGGTGCATCCCGTTGAGAGGTGGCATCATGGCCGAGCTGGGGGCCGCCAACCCCCGCGCCAAGTGCTCCTCGCCCCGGGACAGCATCGCGGCGTGCGAATCGAAGCCGTTGGGCGAGAGCATCTTCTCGTTGGGCAAGTGGCCCCCCGGACCGTAGGGGGCCAGCGGCTGCTGGGCGTTGTGCAGGCTGCCCAGCCCGTTGGGGAGAGGCGAGAGGGGCTGCCCCATGGCCGGCATGTCCTTGGGGTAGTGGCTGTAGAGGTTGCCCATGGAGGCCAAGCTCCTCTCGTCTCGCATGAGGGTGAAGCTGCCGCTCACGTTGCCGGCCAGGCGCTGGTGCGGGTGGTGGTGGTGGTGGTGATGGTGCGGGTGGTGGAACTTCTCCGAGACGGTGGAGATGGGCGGCAGGTGCTGGAGGGGGGTGAGCGTGGTGTAGGTGCTGCTGAGGCTCATGCCGGAGGGGGACTCGCAGGACATGCTCATGGCGGGGTGCAGCGGGGCGGCCAGGCTGTGCTCGGCGCGGTAATCTCCCCCCTCCAGGATGGAGGCCATGCCCGAAACCATGGCGGGTCGGCCGTGCGGGACCAGGTTGCGGTGCGAGCCTTGACGCCCGTGGGCCGGGCTCAGCAGCTCGGCGGGCTGGGTGTGCGGGACGCCGTGCAGGCTGCCCAGGTTCTCCATCGCCAGCTCCATGGTGGCCGCCGGGCTCTGCCGCTGCCTCGCCCGCTCGCTCGCTGCCTTCCTCCCCCCCCCCCCCCCCGCCGCCGCCTCCGCCTCAGGGACCGGCCCAGGGCCTGCTCTCACCGCCTTTAAATCACCACGGCCACGCCCCCTCCGCCCGGGGGTTCCGGGGGAAGTTGGG